GGAGCCCCTAGTAGCTTCTTGTTACTAGTAGCGATGCCCTTGTTACTAGTAGCTTCTTGTTACTGGTAGTTTGGCCAGGAGCTACTAGTAGCAACCTTGCTCCTAGTAGCGATGCTCTTTGTTCTTTGTATATAGCTTCTTGTTAGCAAATGGCAGTCGAAACTAGCCGGCAACATCAAAACATGCTTGCCCCTAAAGTGATTCACTCAGGCAGTGCTGCCTAGGCGTTGATGTGGACCTAGGCAATCGGCATGCGTTTTTTGGACCCGACACAAAACGCTCAGATTGAGATCCATGCCCACACGCTGGATATTCATACGTTGATGAAGGATTCTTTCCCCACCTGATTCCGGTCGGTCGTTTTGCGTTCAAGAGCTCTGTCGTGCCTGCAGTAAGATGAATCACTCACATTCTTGAGAGTCACTTGTTCGTGATAAAGTTATATTGCACAAAGTGTCGCGCGGGCCAAGCACAAGCCCGTCGGAGGAGGTTTGTCTGTTCTTCCAGTCAGCACCTAAGAACTCAATGGAAAGCAGCTGCTGCCAGTACCTGTTCAGCTTCTAATTACTGCTACAACTGGACATCTCAGAGGGGAACAATTTCCAACTCCCGTGCACATGGAGGTTGGACCTGAGAAGCATACAGCCTTGCTGTACCGCGTATGGCTTGAACTTCTCTAACTGTTGCTAAGCCGTCAGCCACAACCTAAACGCACCCCACCGGCATTTCCCATGAAATAAGACCTCGTTCCACTTCCACCAAATCGAACTGAAGCAGCCAAGACTTGGCACTGCCAGTAACTCTGCCAAAGTGAGACTCAGGATTCCTATGACCAAGCTTTGCCTACCAGTAGGTTTAACCAAACAAAACAATTGCTTTAAGGCGGTAGTTTGAAGGTGCCTGCACACCTGCTGAACACTTCTGGAAAAGTATCGAATTCGTTTCAAAAGCAACAAAAGAATTAGAACGATGCCTGAAAGGAAATCCAGCGAGACCTAACCCACTCCACTTTGGGCGGATTGCGAAGATTTGCTTGAGCAAAAGCAGATTCGTCCACAACATGTTGCTCTTTTTTCTTTAGCCCGCCCTTACTTAATTAAGTAGGCCCTTCCTTAACTATATAAGTAGGCCCTTCCTTAATTAAGTAAGGGCTAGCCGCTACTAAGCTCACACTTCTTCAACCCTTGAAGAAGCACATGCTCACACTATTTATGTGGTTCCTAGATGTTCCAAGATTCTAAAAAAAACATCGCTCAAGCCTCCCATATGCACAAAAGGAGCGTTAGTTGCATGCTTTTCCAATCTGCAGTGCATTCAGATCACAAGAAGCCCAGCTGTGAAGAAAAAACACAAGTAGTGAACAAAAACAACAAAGGTAGAAAGGCTCGAGCGGCTCATACCAGCAAAATGCACAACCGGAGAGTGACCAACAAATAGGCGGGTTCCCATATTTGATGAAAAGCTGTTGCTGAAAAGAACCAGTACCCTTGGTTGCCAAACTTCTGTGACATCAAGTTGTTAGGGTTCAGCTCTCACTCTTTTGGCCGCACTGGTGTTGGCGCTCTGAAGCCACGTGTTGTGGTCTCCTGACCTTTATCGAAACTCAAAGCTTCTGATCCTGAACAGGATCTTTTCAACTCTCTGCTACCCCATGCAGGTAGCTTGTAGACCACCAGGTGAGGGTTGTTAGATTTTATCACAGTTGTTCTTCCTCCGCGCCGCCTCCTCGTCCTCCTCCTTCCTCCTTCCTCCTTGCTTCCTTCCTCGCCAATCTGCTTCGCCGATCTTGTCTGGCCAGCTCCGGATCGCAGTGTGCACCCCTGGACCTCAACCGCAAGGATCCCCTCGCAGTGAGCACCCCTGGGCCTCAACCGCAAGGATCAATCGCAGTGCGCATCCCTGGACCTCAACCGCAAGGATCCGATCGCAGAGTGCATGCCTGGACCTCAACCGCAAGGATCCGATCGCAGTGTGCACCCCTGGACCTCAACCGCAAGGATCCGATCGCAGTGCGCACCGCTGGACCTCAACCGCAAGGATCCGATCGCAGTGTGCGCCCCTGGACCTCAACCGCAAGGATCCGATCGCAGTGTGCACCGCTGGACCTCAACCGCAAGGATCCGATCGCAGTGTGCACCGCTGGACCTCAACCAGATAGTTTGCCAGATAAAATGCCAGATAGAATGCCAAGTAGATTGCCAGAAAGATTGCTGCAAGAAGATATGCCAGATAGTATGCCAAATAGTGTGTCAGATAGATTGCTAGATACATTGCCAGATAGAATGCCAGAAAATATGCCAGATAGAATGCCAGACAAAATGCCAGATAGAATGCCAGACAGTATGCCAGATAGTATGTCAGATAGATTGCCAGATAGAATGGCAGATTGAATGGCAGATAGCATGCTTCAAACACACAACCACAAACACAACCACAAGCTCACAACCACAAACACAACCACAAACACACAAATACAAACACATAACCACAAGCACACAGCCACAAACACAACCACAAACACGCAACCACAACCACAACCACAAACACAACAACAAACACAACCACAAACATAACAACAAACACACACCCACAAAGACACAACAATCGACAAACAACCACAGACACACAACCACAAACAGTCAACCACAAACACACAACCACAACAACAAAACCACAAAGACACAATCACAAACACACAACCACAAACACAACCACAAACATAACAACAAACGTACACCCACAATCACACAACAATAGACACACAACCACAAACACAACCACAAACACACAACCACAACAACACAACCACAAAGACACAACCACAAACACACAACCACAAACACACACCACAAACACAACCAGAAACACACAATCACAAATACACAATCACAAACACAACCACAGCACACAACCACAAACACAACCACACACACAACCGCAAACATAACAACAAACACACAACCACAAAGACACAACAATAAACACACAACCACAAACACAACCATTGTGAGTTTGGAAGTCAGCCAAGAAATATTTATGGTTTGTTTATTTTTATGCTTTTGTTACGGTTTTCTTATGAAACTGAATATGCCAAAAAATATGCTTTGTTTGTAGTTAATTGTTTGCGTAGAATCAGGAAGCTAGTGGTGGCAGAACAACAACACACGGAGTACACAATCTAAGACCCAGACCAAATATGAGCAACCCTGCAGAGAACACAGGGCAACAGCAGTCACTGGCTAAACAACTCTCAAGCCTAAACCTTAAAAGGCAGCTGGTAGCCCAAGCCCTAGACGTTTGGGCACTGGACACACGGGGACGGACGGAGACCAAGTGGAGCCCAGACCGCCTAGTGACCACTTCTGCGGCCATAAAAAACCATAAGACTTGGCATAAGTTTTTCATAAGATTTCCATAAGGTTTTCATAAGATTTTCATAAAAATCAATAAAGTCGCCGATTCTTATGGATTTTTTATGGATTCGATATGGAATTGGTATGGATTTGTTATGATTTTGTCATGGCTGTTTTATGGCTTTGATACTTGGTTGGAGGACAGTTATGGTTTCGTTATGGTTGGGAACTGGACGTGGTATGGCCCAGGGCTTGGAGTGGAAAAGGTCAGGGCGGCTTGCAAGGGCCACCGTGCCCCCACCCTTGATTCCTTGCGTTGTCAGAAACTAAATCTTTCCATCAGACGTGAAATAGCTGATTGGGCTGCTGACCACAATCCAAGAAGCTCCCAAACCTCCTACCTAGCCATACGAACAATATATCGCAAGTGTATGTTTGGCAATTCAGCCAAAAAAAATCATAAATTTGATCATAACTGTTTTCATAAGTTTTCACAACAAATCCATAACAAAATCGTAAAAATATGTTTTAAAAAACAATTTCTTAGCTACTTCCTAACTCACAACACAACCACAAACACACAACTACAAACACATCCACAAACACACAACCACAAACACAACCACAAACACGCAACCACAACAACACGACCACAAAGACACAACCACAAACGTACAGCCACAAGCACAACCGCAAACACATCCACAAACACACAATCACAAACACACAGCCACAAACACACAATCACAAACACAACCACAACCACAACACAGCACACAACCACAACCACAACACACAACCGCAGCACACAACCCGAGGACCCACAAGCAAAATCGAGAACTACAATACTCACGACCATGGCAACATGCTCCTCGCTATGGCATCAAGTCAAAGGATTGAAATGTCATGGTGGGGATCACTCGAAGTATAAAGTAATTTTTACTTTCTTGACCCAATGCAGGTCATTATTGTTTCAACGACGTGGGATGCCTTTTCCACGGGACCCCTTGCCGTCGACGCCCAGGCGACGTGGATCCCAGGCAGCAAGCAACTCTTTGGTACGAGATGGCAACAATAAATCGGGCAACTTACTGACGCCGTCGGCGATGTAGATCCTAGCCACTCTGTGGCTGGCCCAACGGCCTTTGAGAAGTGCTATTTCCGTGCTGCCTGTCTGCTGCACCAACCACGCTGCACCACCCCTACGCATGGAGTATGGGCGAAACCCCAGCGTTTGGAGTTTGAATTTCCGAAGGTAGCAGTGAATGCTTGTGCTGAAAATTCCCAAAGCTTCTTATGAAGAGCATTTTGTGAAACTAGGACATCACGTACTGTAGTCGCCATTAATACGGCGAACTGTACATCTGTAGTGACCATTTCGTCAGCCGCATTACGTTTGCCGGTCTTGGTGTCCTTGAGTGAAACTACAAGTTGCGACGCATTGACCAACAGACCCTGTCCTCTGAGGTTGAGCAATTCGCCGGCGCGAAGCAAAGTAAAGAAACCCAATGCCAGTA